AGAGAGAGAGAGAGAGAGAGAGAGAGAGAGAGAGAGAGAGAGAGAGAGAGAGAGAGAGAGAGAGAGAGAGAGAATGAGAGAGAGAGAGAGAGCAAAGAGGGGAGGCAAAAGTACATACCCCACAAAGACGTAGTATAAGCGGTACACTCGTGCAAAGTGGCAGCTTATCCAGAGTCCATATCCGAACAATCCACCTACCCAGACTGCAAGAGGAAACAGCCAAGACGTCGTATAAGCTGATGCAACCAGCTGCTACAGCCAGGATTCAATAACAGCGCACACATAACAGAGAATGAGTGAATCCAGTCCAGACTGATTGGAGAATATAAGCTCAAGGGAGAGTTGCTGTTCATCCGTCATTCAAACTCCTCGGCAAAGGATGTGTGACCCACATACCATGCAAATGGCTATGAAGTAGTATGAAGTTATGAACATCATTTTGTATGCACGCCGGTAAGTTTCACTGCCAAGCTCTTAAGAGTGAAGCCTGCCCTTGAACATTGAAGTGTTCCAGCCTCATCATGTAACCACGCATCTTTTCTTACAACTTCACAGCCAGTGAAGGCAACTCTCCCCTCAGTGCCTTCAACCACCAGTACACACGGGCCTCGAGGCGGTGCCCGCCAAGTTTTTCCGAACCGCCAGCGGGACTTCTTTTTTTTTTTGGCTGGCGCCGCCAGCGATTGTGGTCCCCCAAGGCGTGGAATTTTAGGAGTAGGTGACGAGCAAATCTCCATAAGGCTGAGGCCGTGTACTGGCGGTTTAAGAGATGCCTGCCATTTTTTTGGCACAGGGTCAAAATGCAAAATGTGTGTGGACTCAGACTTAAGACCGCTATCGGAGGATGACAGGTGTTTACTGGCCCCTCCCGAGTGATACCTTGCTGGCCAACATCTGACATACAGAGAAGTCACAGCTCCAACCAACCCTGCACCATATGCAGCTCGCACAGCACTGGGACAGAGGAATAGGACTTCATACAAATGCTGTGATCATTGTTTTGTACTTGGACATCAACACACCTTGGTTTTACTAAGCTACAGCTACGTGGACAGTTATAAGAGTGCTGTGATGCTGTTCCTCCTCAATTTCTATGAGTGTGCTTTGACGCTGTCCTGTGCAACATTCTCCTTCTGCGAGAGTATTGTGAGGCTATGCCTGCCCAGTACCTTCCTCTATTAGCGTGTTGTGGTACTGTTCCTGTACAGTATCTCCTTTCCTACCTCGCTTTAGGTTTGCCACTGATGCAAGTTTTCCATCACTACACCTCAGCGTCGACCTCTCTCCATCAGTGCTTGTGAGTGGCACAGGGTATCAGAGCAGGTCTTCGTGAGGCTTGCGCCACCCTTCTCTCTCCATCGTGTGCCGACTGTAGAGGCCATTCTTTCTGTGTGTTATGAGTCTGCCACACTGTTGATGCAAAAGTCCAGCGAAACTCAACTTTGAGATAATGCCATCGATGTCACCAATTGAAAAGAAGTGGAAGAGATAAAGAATGAGAAGAGAATGAAGCAAAGAAGAAGAAGAAGAACCAACAAGCCTAGCTCAGTTGGTACACCCATGAACTGTTGAAATACAGACCCAAGTTCGAATCCAGATGCCATCAAGAATTCTGAACTACCTAGGGCCCGTCAGTTCAACGATGATATCTCAAGGCCATCGCCCTTTTAAAAAAGAAAGACGGCGAAGAAGAAAAAGCAGCAGCAGAAGGAGGAGGAGGAGGAGGAGGAGGAGGAGAAGGAGGACATGCGGCTGGCACCATGTCTCTCTCCCTCTTCTCTCCATCCCCATCATCATCATTATCATCCCGCACAAGCTCCTCTTTTATTGTAAAATAATTAAGAACGATGAATGAACGAATGAGCAAGACTCAACGTCCAAAATGAATCCCTTACTGTCTTGCTGAAGAAATCTCTCTCCAGGCTTCTTTCCCTCTCTCGACTACACATTGCTGAGCTGGTAGCTATGGCGGATCATCCAGGTCACGCGCGAATGTTCAAAGGACAATGCAAATACTCCCTATGCCTCCCCCACCATATGCCGCCATATCCACTCTCTATGGACGAAGTCCAAGTCCAACCAATCCCCCTCTTGGGTCTTCCTGATGCAGTGCCACCCAGGTGAGTCTACCATAGCCAAAGGCAAGTCCTCCTCTCAGTTCCCTCCTCCTTCCTCCTCTCACCTTCTTCTACTCTCTTCCGCCTTACTCCATATCCCGGCTTGGGCTTCTACTTACTATTCCCTCATCTCCGCCATAGCCCGGGAGTTCTCGCCATCACCCTGAAGCTTCGCCTTCACCCCGTAATACTCTGCCAACCTCTTCCTCTTGGCCTGAGCAGCAGGACAGAAGGGTCGAGTGAACGGCCTGAGCAGCAGGACAGAAGCGTCGAGTGAACGGTGGAGTTGTTTGTCGGCGGAAGAAGTGTTCTTTGCTGTGATATTAAAGCACATGGACACCTTTTGTTGATTTACATGATTCACTCTGCCAACCTCTTCCTCTAGGCAGAGCAGCAGCATGACCGCCAGGTGAATGTCCAGAGAGAACCAGCCCACTCGTTGCACCAAATAAAATACTGCCACGGGTGCTACCTGCCTCCTACCAGTGCACTACGACCTTTTGAAAGTTCCTGTCTTCGCCAGTAACATAATTGCAGCCTGCAAGCTCACCCCAACACCTGAATCTAAGTTAATACATGTCTACATAGAGGCCACTAGGCCACCATGACCTTTCGGAAGCTAGTGGACTCTCCTAAGCCTACCGGACGACCTACATGGGCCTACTACCGTCTTCCCCCGAACATAACGCACCCTAAAAATGAATGTATACGAGCTATATTTCCGGCCAGATACAGCCAAAATGAGGGTGCGTTGTGTTCGGGGGAAGACGGTAGATCCCTATCAAATTCTGCAGTTACCCCTGGTACATCCTTCCAAGGAGAAGTAATAAATGCCGTCCTTCTCTCAAGCATAATGGGGTGAAGCGTAGGAGTGTGTATTCTCTGCCGGTGGAATAGGAACTGGACTGACGCTGCGCAGAATAGACAAGGAGCCAGAACCGTAAGTGAGTAGAACAGTGAACCATGGAGGAAGAGGACAGAGTGAGGGGGCAGAGAAGGAATATAAAAGGGCAAATGGGAAAGCAGATATGGACATAAGATCCTGGAACGTCCATGGCTTGGCCACTATCCTGTCCTCACCTAAGAAATGGTTCAGCATGACAGCCAACATGAACTACCGTCTTCACCCAAAAAGAACGCCCGGTAATTATCGTCGTATCTGGGCTGAAAGTTGTGCCAAATACAGCTATAATGACCAGGCGTTATATCCGGGTGAAGACGGTAGTTTGACAAATACCCTACAGACATAATCTGCATACAAGAGGCACATCTTACCAACTCAGAAGAGCATGGGTTATCCAAGCAGAAATAGAGAGAAGGTTGAGATATATTCAGAGAGCGGAATGGATGAACAGCCCCAATTCAGCCGCAGCTGGCGTACTACGGTAGTGCTATTCCACAACATGGCTAAAGCAGCACAGGACGCAGAAATAGTGCAAGTAATCAAAGACCCAACAGGGGGTAGACGGATCAGAATCGACTTTACATACACATAGCAGGAAATAACTATGCTTAATGTTTATGCACCAAACACCAACACACAGAGAAGAGCAATCTTAGACTCAATTAAACAAGAATGTCCAAACCATCGACAAACCATAGCAATAGGAGATTGGAATTCTACGCTAGACCCCCTAATGGGTAGGATATCTCATGCGAGGGAAGGGATAGATGACAGAGAAGCTCATCTAATGTTAGAATTCGCAACAGAAAAGAAACTAGCAGACCCCTTTAAATTAAGATTCCCTGAGACAAAACGCTTTACATACACTAGAAATACCCGGCAAGGAAACACATCATTCTCCAGGATCTATTATTTTTTAATCACGGAGTCCCTAGTAGGGCCTGCAATATCAACGGCCATCCTCAAACCCCCATACTAAGAGGGGCTTCGACCACAAACAAGTGGGATTGTTGCTCAGCTTTGAAATGGACAATGAATAAGGGCACAATTTCCGTAAGGTTAGAAATTCTCTTCTGAAACCAGAAAGCTTCTAAAAGGAAGATACAAGGAATTACAGACCGATCTCCCTCCTACCGGTAGCATACAAAATATTAGCAAAAGCACTTGCAAATAGAACAAGAAATGTGACAGACAAATGCTTCCACCTACACCAAACAGGCTTTATACTGGGCAGATACATCCTCGATAATGCAGTCAGCCTTCATGAAGCAACCAATTAATAAGGGCTAAGAAGATACAAGCAACAATAGTACAATACTCTTCTTTGACTTTGAAACGGCCTATGATCAGGTAAACTGGGACTTTCTCCAACTATGCATGGAAGGACTTTCTCCAACTATGCATGGAAGGACTTTCTCCAACTATGCATGGAAGGACTTTCTCCAACTATGCATGGAAACAACAATGGGGGTAGGACCAGTCCTTAGCGGGTGAAAGTCTTGTACGCGGACGCAAGAGGGAAGGTGCAAGTAAACGGCTTTCTATTGGACAAGTACAAAATGACAAGATCAGTGAGGCAGGGAGACCCCTTGGCAGCACCGATATTCGTTATCGTAATGGAAGCCATTGCAGTGTTCCTCAGGAAGGATCCCTCGATAGAAAGACTGTTGTAACGATATAAGTAATCCTGACATCCCAGTACCTGAGAGGAGCAAGTGGGGCCCAAAAACCAGGGCTGGTCCCCGGATGGACCGGGGACCCCTACCCCATCCGCGGTCCTCCCGGTTGGACCGCCCGGTAGCCTGGGCCAGTTCCCTCCCGGTTGCCCCCAGCGCATTTTCGCTGGGGGCTGAAGTTTCTTTTTTACCGGCGCGTATGTGTTCCCGAGGCCTCGTGGGGGCGGGCCCTGCCCCGCAATTTCGAAACCGGGTCCTGTAGGCCCGGATTTTTCGAGTCCAGAAACTGGCCAATCTTGGCCACCGATCGTTGCAGATCAGCCGCAAAGATCGGCCAGGACCCCATTTCTTAAGAAAAACGGGCAGAGGATATCTGCCGCTGATCTGTGCAGATCAGCAGCTGAGAAAAGCCACACATTATTCCTAAGATGTGGGTCGGGTAGGCCCCTTCTCCAATTTGTCATCTTGTGGTCCAATGGACCAGTTACCATTGGCAACATCTGATGCTCTTTCACCCTCAGCCACGAGGGGAACACTATGCTTCTGATGAGACTCTGCTGAGATTATATCCTTCTGTGACGTCCCTGCCATCTGTGGAAAAAGTTATGGGTTCGGATTTTGGAATCGTGATTTCAGAGCCATCCGAGGTGCAATCCCAAGAATGGACCTAAGCTATATTCTTCTCTCTATCGATCTCGAATGGACCTTGCTCCACTACATGTATCTGGACAGACTGCCAGGCAAGATACTTCCGGACTGACCACTCACCTTATGTAGAAACCAACAAACAGAAAACGCTCTGCCTCCACAAGCTGAAAGCTGGAACCATAACTTTTCTGCTGTCGAAATATACTCTGGAAGAGCTATAATTTCGGGCAAGGACCTCCTCTCATCGTATCTGGTTCAGCTCGTGGGGTATCAATCTCAAATGACATACTCCACAAAGTGCTCCAGCCACGGGGGGTTTGGATAAGTGAACTTGCTTATTTGATCCCTCCCCGAGGAAGCCATAGTTGCCTGAATATGTCAACAATAACCCCCTGCCCCCCTCTGGAAGCCCCCTGAAACATATTGTACCTTGAAAATTTTATTGCGGATTCGGACAGCTCTTGAAGAGCGCAGTCGGAATCTGCCCAAAAAAACAAAAACAAAAAAGATATTTGGGCACTTTTTTTTCAAAACCGGTTTCCCGGTTCACCCCCCACTGGGCTGGTCCGGCTCCGGTTGGACCGGGGTAGCTCAACCGGCCGGTTGCCGGCCCAGCACTGCCAAAAACCTCAATCAGGGTCACAGATACAAGTCGAGCGGAACAAGTCCGCAGAGCAAAGCAAACCAACCCTAGAGGTGTAGGGTTTAGGCAGAGAAACCCAAGGTAATAGATTGAGGGCATAAGAAGAGACCAGGAATAGGGTAGCAGCTAGTTCTCAAGTACAACAAGAGGCTGACTTAGGCAGGGGTGGAGGGGGGGGTGGCACATCCTTTCCAAGGGAGTAATCAATGTCGCCCACCCGGGCCTCTCGACCATAATGGAGAGGGGCATGTGCGAGTCCATAATGAAGAGGGGTACATCCTTCACTTGCCAGAGGAATAGGAACCGGACTGACGCTCCCCAGAATGGGCAAGGAGGCAGAACCATAAGGTTCTGCTCTTTTTTCTTTTCTTTTTTTTAAATACACAGTTAAATAAGGCTGTGAGATGTTACTCAAGACAAAAGATCCTGAACCAACAATTAGACACAGATGGACAAGGCTGTTAGGAGGTGAGGCAAAACCGGATTCCCAAAATACCATGGAAAAAATCAAAACAATATGTCTGGGCAAGGTTAGAACTTAGAAGTCTCCAATGGCTCATCACATATGTATGTACTACGTAGCCATACCAGTCAATCACTGGCTACATATCAGGAGGAGGAGGAATAGGGACCCTAACAGCTTGGACAGATGTCTAGTCAGCTCAGACCAAGAAGAAGAGAAGGCTTAATACACTGTCTAATTAAAGAAGCAATAGAACTACGGGCAAGACATGTGGAGACAGCCGCCTTTTCTCCTCTCCCTGCCCTGAACACCCCATGCCGGTCAATCACTGGCTACGTATCAGGAGGAATAGGGACGCTAACAGCCCGGACTGATCTTTGTCGACTGCTCAGACCAAGATCAAGAAGGCTTAATACACTGTCTAATTAGGTGTAAAGAAGCAATAGAACTATGGGCAACAGGTTCAGACTTGTGAAATCCTATTTTCTCCTCTCCCTTCCCTGAGCACCCCATCCAGCTTCTGCTTGGACCACCATCCCATCCCAGTTGGGCAAGCTGGTAAGAACAGACTAAACAGTAGATTGAACTGATCCGCAAAGCAACACTATGGGCGATTAGGAAGGAAAGGTGCAGCAGGACTTTGGATAATACCAAGAACAAGCTCAGTAAGTCTGGGCCGCAAACAAAGAGCATGACGGAAGCGCCTTGTATGCATGTGACTACATGTGGTGGCTGCAGGACGCAACAGCTGGCATATCATGCACAGCTGGCAATCAAACAGGAAGAAAAGGCAGAGTTTATCCACCCTATTGGTAAGTTTGGCAAAAGCGAGGATGGAGGAGTCAGTGGGAATTACATGCTCCGATTGTACCTAGCAAGAAGAAATTCCAACCAAAAAAAAAAAAGCATAACGGAAACAGAGATTCTTTGCAAATGGTGAAGAAGGGTTAAAGGTGCAGTACAGTACCCGGCTACAACTCAGATACACCTGACAACTTTCAGAAGCGTCTGGCTAGCTGAGGATAAGATGGGGGACACTAAAGACATGCGGCTGAAATTCGCGGACTGGCATAATTCAGAAATTCCATTATGGAGGCCGAACTCCCAGACAGCGAGATCCCAGAGCTCAGTGAGGTCATGAGGGCCAGAAGGATTGTCACATCAGTAGATGAGGATGTGACAGGATGACAAGACGAACTCAAGGACGGAAGTAGGAGGTGAAGAAGGATGCCTCTTGATGGGAAGGAGCTCAGCGAGGTCACGAGGGCCAGAAGGACTTCCAGATCAGTAGATGAGGATGTGACAGGATGACAAGACGAACCCAACGACGGAAGTAGGAGGTGAAGAAGAAAGGATGCCTCTTGATGTGAAAAAAAAAAATAGACAGAGCTGACAGGTTAACAGACGGAGAACCTGAGAGGAATACATGAGAAGGGCAATCTCACAGTCAATCCTCCCGTAACATGGAGCAATCAATGCTGGTAAAGGATCCTCCGGCCGAACGGAAGGAATCACAAGTGTGTTAATGATGCATTTTACGATTTTGAGTTGCTGGGGGAATAGGAACCGGACTGAGTGGAGGCTGGTGTAAGGAAATATGCAAGACCATTTAGGTAGGAAGGTAGTGGGAGGTATAATTGCAAGAAGAATATCGCTTAGTTTTCAACTTTTTCAATAAATTGAAAAAAGGAACCGAACTGATGCTCCCCAGAATGGGTATGGAGCCAGGGCCATGACAACCTGTTCTTTAAAAAAAAAAAAAAAAAAACAGGAAAGTACCACAAGTGGCAATTTGGCTTCTTGGCTTGGACGTCTTTCTGAATTTTCGACGACTTATTATTCTTTTGAATCTTTTCATGTATGTTTCTAACTTCCCTTGCTCCAACCAATCTTTTTACACAAAAAGAGTAAAGAAAAGTGGGGCGTTTATCCTTAGGTACTCCTATTCCATTCAATATGATGAATCAAAGTATAATAGAAAGGGATGAGTTGTCATCGCAAGTACAAGTACATGAACTACAAGATGATAGGTACTGTTGAAATGGAGCGTGATGTTAGAGCGGCCCAGGGGACATAGGTTAAGGCCCTCACCAATCCACAATGAGCATGCACTCCAGGGCAAGGACCTGAAAGAGAACAAATTCCTGGAAAGCTGGTGTGGAAGATAAACATTCAGAGATCCAGAAGAGCACATTCAATGTTAAGTCGGCAAATTATAAATGAATAACTGGGAAAACAGAGAAAGGGAATCAAACTTCTGCAACAAGTACACCAACCAACTACTGCAGCAGTGATAGGGACACAGAGCGATACATTTGTCTACGTCTTTACAATAGCCACATGTCCTTAAACTTCATTTCATTATCTAATTGCAAACATCGAAATTAACTTTTTTACTGCCAGTTCTGTGGGGATTCAAACAATATCGCTAAATGCTCTTTGCTCTCTCTCTCTCTCTCTCTCTCTCTCTCTCTCTCTCTCTCTCTCTCTCTCTCTCTCTCTCTCTCTCTCTCTCTCTCCCTGGCCTTGAAGCCCCATAAAAATGGCTCTAAATCTCTAAAAAGCAAATTTCAATGCCATGCAATTAGAAAGAGTTTCAAACTTAACAAAATGGCTGTTTTACGTCTATCTTTTCAGAACCGCTAAGGTTGGAATGAAACAAGAAAGCCAACCAAGAAAGCAGAGCAATAACAGACATATAGACCATATATCTTCGATCACAGCTTTTCTGAGTTTCCTCCATTTCACTCTCCAGCGAACTTCTGTGAATATGACCAGAACCGCCACCACAAAGCTTCAATAAGCCGCTCAACCACAAGATGAACTAAAAAGTTCTTCCACAACTGGCCAACAGTTCCCAAACAGTTGTCCTCCGAAATGTCTTTTGAAATTGGAGTGATACAGAGAAGATAAGTGTGGACGCTGCGCAAGGATGACACACATAAATTGAGAAATGGTCCAAATAACTACCTAGGCTACCACAGTGGCTCGGGACCACTTGCCCGGCTGGGCCAAAAAAAAAAAAGAACTTCTCTTTATTATTATTATTATTTTATTTTTTTCAATTTGGTAACGACTTTCAGCATGCGCCTGAGGCAAAAGCTTTTTAGTTTATCATTCTGCACAACAGAGCTTTTGCGAGGCACAAGGCCTCAATAAGCCCTACTGGGCCCCTATTCGCAACAGCGTTGGCCGCCCTAAGTGAAGGCAGGCTCGACCGACCCCAAGAGGCCTATTTTGGACTACTACACAGCTGGGGAAAATTCAGGCAGTTGCCCAGCGCCAGTTGGTTGGACGTGCCCAGGCCCTGAACTTCTTCATCAAATGCATCCGAGTCAGGCCCTGGGCGAGATTCGCAGCATGGACCCAACTCAGGCTGCGAACAGTTGGGCACTAGTAACCACCACAGGCCCTGGTCCTGTTTCCTTTGGATGGAGGCTCGGCCTACCGGAAGCTTCTGGGTCAGGGCCCAGTACCTCACGACTGCACGCAGCAGCAGGCCACTTCGATACAGGGAAGGGCCTGCCTCCGCATTGGACATTCGGGCACTGGCTGCTTTGTGCACAAGCGCTGCTGCGCTATCGCCTGCCAGGCTCACGCGCTCACGGGCGAGCTGGAAGGAGCAGGCAGCCATAGCCGAGCTGCGCTGCTGTATGCTGGATGGGGCGCATGGTGGTCCTTGGGTTCATGTGACATCTGTGAGTTGGGGAACGAGGTTGTGAGTGATACGAGAGACATACAACGAGGTTGTGAGTGATACGAGAGACATACAACGAGGTTGTGAGTGATACGAGAGACATACAACGAGGTTGTGAGTGATACGAGAGACATACCTGGTGCTTAAAGCGTGCGGCATTGTCCGAGATCTGCTTGTACTTCGGGGAGTTGTTGACGTCATCAGCGGCATTGTAGTCTAGGCTAGATAGGATCTGCCATTTGTAGTCTGGGCGCCGAGCGCCAGATAGGATATCAACATTGGTTCTTTGTTGATGATGATGAGAATATTCCAGCATTGTCAATTATGAGCTTTTGGTGTGCTCTCATTTGGTGAAACTCGTGATGCAATTCTGCTATTGGTTCGAGGTCACGACTATCTGGTCTCATGTGTATGATGCTGTCTGATTACTGAAGTTCGCTATTGCTCATCTTCCTTGCACTTCTTTCTTTCTTTTTTCGACCAATCCTGGCCCAAGCATCCCGGTTGGTAGCCCAGCCAAATATTTCAAAAAAAGAAGATTTTCCAAACAGTTGTTCCCAAACTGGGCCAGATCATTCAAAAACATCTTCCATGTTCCGGAAAATTCTCCGAGTTCTACAATTTCTTCAACAGCACGACAAGATCTTCCGAAAAGTTGCACAATTGGACAATATCTTCTGAAAAGTTGCACAATTGGACATGATGTTCCAAAAAGTTCTCCAATAACTAGACAAGATGTTCCATCCAGTTCTTCCCATACCTGCAAGCGCATGCCGTGCGAACAATTGCCCACACACAGCGCGTGAGCGCACCAGATCCATGCGGCGCACAGCATGTGTGTAATGAACCCAGTCTGATAGATACCCAGAAGTCGTCAATCAACAGTAGTTTCAATATCTGTCTGAAAATCTCCAGATCGTGAAGTGATATCACAAACAGCATCTCATTATCCAAAATAGAAGAGTGTGGAGGGAGAATAGACAAAGGAGAGGAAGAGAGAATACACAGAATCCTTCTGATCCCTCTCCTTCTCCGGGCTGCTCCACACTACATCATCAATGATAATAAGAATAATCCTGGTTTCATACAGTAGTGCCACGTGGCACGTTCTTTCATGAAGACTCTGAAGACACAGCAAATGTCCAGTGACGACGTCAGCCACAAGTGAGTACCCGATCCTCTATAACCACAGATCCCAATCTTCCTCTCCCTCGCAACCAGTCACCTCATGTAGACAGCGTGGACAACGCCACGTCAGCAACCAAGACAGGTGGCACATGCCACATCAACGATGTAGACCAATAGCAATGCCACGTATACCAAAAGCAGCGCCACATATACCAGAGGCAGCGCCACGTCAGCATGTCACGTAGACCAAAGGCAGCGCCACATGTACCAGAGGCAGCGCCACGTCAGCATGCCACGTAGACCAAAGGCAGCGCCACATGTACCAGAGGCAGCGCCACGTCAGCATGCCACGTAGACCAGAAGCAGCGCCACATATACCAGAGGCAGCGCCACATCAGCATGCCACGTAGACCAGAAGCAGCTTCACATATACCAAAGGCAGCGCCACGTGAGCATGCCACGTAGACCAGAGGCAGCGCCATGTCAGCATGCCACGTAGACCAGAGGCAGCACCACATCAGCATGCCACCTCAGCAAGCCTGGCATACAATGCCAGCACGCTGCCTCCACCTCATGTGGTCGTCCGCAGCACTGATGCACAGCCAGCGTCTAGCCAGCGTCGCGCTAGCATAATGCCAGCGTCTAGTCAATGTCAAGCCAGTGTCGAACCAGCATAGCAAGACTGAATGCTGACCACCTCGAGGCTAGTCTTTAAGTAGTATTTGTTGAGGCTCTCTGGCCTCGGGTCTCCTTCCCTCAGTCGTCCAGATTGAGTCACAGCTGCAGGCCTGGATCGTACAGTTGCAGACTTTCCCCTTGGACCTTATGCTGTCTGGGTACCTGCATACAAACAAGTGTGTGTGCTTGACCGGCGGCCTGGACTGGGTACCTTTGGACTTTGACTGTTGGGGTCAAGGCAGTTGACAAACGTCAACTGTCTCACGTCCAGGCCCTGAATGTTCGTGTGGGGTCTTTACCCCTGTTTTGGCCTGGGCTGAGGGCGGCCGAGTTGGCCCTCAGTCTTTCCACGAGACATATGGCACGGGTTATTGCATGTGTGGCGTACAGGAGAAATAGGCACCCAGAAAAAAAAAAGGGTCGCAGGTCTGGCTCAGTGGTCAAGGGCACTCCCTTTGAAAATTTGTTCTGGGATCAGTGTGTTCACGCCGACAGACGGCGCCCCCCAATTGGTCGGTGGCCGACCAGCCGGCCAGTCCACCAGCCGGCCAGTCCACCTGCCGGCACCTACCGGTCGGCAGTTGTCAGCACCCCACCGGAAAGAAAAAAAAAAAAAGAAAGAAAGCAACCAACACCACCATAACCCCCAAATATTTCCCCAGCTACCCCCCATATCCCCTACATAACCCCCCTAACACCCCCATCACCCCCCGCCAAACMCCCCCAAACACCCCCCTAACACTCCCTAACAAGCGCGCCCCCCCTCTCCCCCCCTCTCTCCCCCCCACCCCCCCCTGGGAAAATGTTTGGCAAACAAAAAAACTTACCCAAAAACAAAAAAAGAATTATTCCGAAGGCTCAAAAAAAAAACAAGGCAGGCTGGTGAATTTCCACATACATTACATGCGATTAAAAAGTTATCTATTTTTATGGTAATCTGCCTGTTAAAAAACTAGCAGTGAATTTCAACATACATTACAAGCGATTAAAAAATTATCTATTTTTTATGGTAATCTGCCTGTTAAAAAAGTAGCAAAAAAAGTTTAACAGGCGTATACTTATTTAGACAAACAAAAGAGTTTGTGCAAGGAATGTGAGCGAGAGCGATAGACAGAAATCCAAATTGCAAAATCACGAGGTAGTCCAGAGAATCATACACCAAGCAGAAAGCACGATGCACAGAGATACAGCCAAATAAGAGCAATACAATGAAGCCGAATGTCGACGTCGACTCTCTCTCGCCACATCAACATAGTATCCAATGTCGCTCTTCCTGATTGGCGCTCAGTGCCCAGCGTATCCTGCTCAGCCTACTCTAGAAGAGCAATGTACGTGACGACGTCACCCATGCAGACTGCCAGCATACACCAGGTACGTATCTCTCTCCTCTCTCCTCACTCCTCAACCCCCACAGTGTGCACCCCCGACACCCGAAGACCACCACTGCCGACACCCACTCTGCACCCAGCAGCCCGGGTATGGCTGCCCATCGCCTGCTGCCGCAGCAGCGCCCCTCACCTCTCAGCGCCAGTGCGTGCCCTGGCCAGCAGTGCTAGCGCAGCTGCTCGTGCATCAACGCAGCAGCGTGGCCGCATTGCCTACACAGGCCAGCTCCCCTGCTGCTGCGCGCTCCTTTATGGA